GGTATTCAGTTTTCTTGCTGGCTGCAACCCTGCCATCCAAGCCATCTTCCTGGGTAACTCCATCAACTCGCTTCTATCTCCCGGAACGTCTCTCGGTGGACTTAACGTCAACTTCTGGTGTGGCATGTTCCTCATGCTCGGAATCGTCATCGGCTTCTTCTACTACGTACAGGGTATGACACTGTCGAAAGGGTCTGCTAGGCTTGTTGGCAGCGTGCGAACGCGCGCTTTCGGCGCCATGCTTCGTCAAGACATGGAATTCTTCGATGGCGACACGGTCACTTCCGGTGCGCTGAGCAACTTCCTTTCTTCAGAGGCGAATCGTCTCGCCGGTCTCAGTGGCTCTACTCTCGGAACGATTGTCAGCGCCGCCGCTTCCATCCTTGTTGCCTTCATCGTGGGTTGCTCTTTCGGGTGGAAGCTGGCACTCGTGTGCTCTGCAACCATTCCCCTTGTCATCGCCTGTGGTTACTTCCGATTCTATGCTCTCACTCGCATGGAGAAACGAACCAAGGAGACATCTGATGCTGCCAGCTTCGCTTGTGAGGCGGCCTCTTCCATTCGTACCGTGGCCTCTCTCTCGTTGGAGAAGCATCTCTTGTCCACCTACCACACGAAGCTCGCAGACCAGGGCAAGGGTTACTTCAAGTTCACGAACGTGTCCGCAGTGCTCTTTGCGACATCCCAAGGTCTCAGCATGTTCATCTTCGCCCTTGTGTTCTGGTACGGAGGACGTCTGTTGTTCAACCAGGAGTACACTGTCTTGCAGTTCTTCGTCGTCTACTCCTCCATCATCAACGGTGCTCAGTCTGCCGGTGCCATCTTCTCCTTCGCCCCCGACATGGGCGAGGCCAGGGATGCAGCGAAGCTTCTCAAGTCATTCTTGAACCGCGTTCCTAAGATCGACAATTGGTCGACTGAGGGCAAGAAAATTGACAGGTTGAGCGGCAAGATCGAACTGCAGGACATTCGTTTCACCTACCCTGGAAGGCCGGACCACCGTGTTCTTCGCGGCATCAGTCTTTCTGCTGAACCTGGTCAATTCATCGCCCTTGTCGGCGCATCTGGTTCGGGTAAGTCGACGGTAATGCAACTGCTCGAGAGGTTTTACGACCCAACAAGCGGTGCCGTGCTCGTCGATGACGTGGAGGTCAAGGACTACAACCTTCAAGACTACCGATCGCAATTAGCCATCGTCAGTCAAGAAACAACGCTTTACACTGGCACGATCCGAGAGAACATCCTTGCCGACAAGGAGGAACTGGGCGATGACGCGGTGATTCAAGCGTGCAAAGACGCCAACATCTACGACTTCATCACATCGTTACCTGACGGTTTCAACACGCTGGTTGGCGCAAAGGGTGCTCTACTCTCTGGTGGCCAGGTACGTTCTCCGACTCATTCACTTCTCTTAACCTCACTAACATGTCTTCCAGCGCCAACGCATAGCCATCGCCCGCGCCCTCCTCCGCGACCCCAAAGTCCTCCTCCTCGACGAAGCCACATCCGCCCTCGACTCCACCTCCGAACGCGTCGTACAAGCCGCCCTCGACTCCGCCGCACAAGGCCGCACCACAATAGCAATCGCGCATCGCTTGAGCACAATTCAGCACGCCGACGTCATCTACGTCTTTGACCAAGGCAAGATCGTAGAGAAGGGCAGACACGAGGACTTGGTGGCCAAGAAGGGAGTTTACTTTGAGCTGGCGAAGCTGCAGGCTATCGGCGCACCGCAATAGTTCCAACGAGCGGGAGCTATTTTGCATACACGGCGTTTGGAATTCATGGGACGCTAGAGCATATACTTGTAATCGTTTTCTTAGATCGTTAGGCTGGTACTTTTGTAGATCTTTGGCATATAGATTGCCTGTTTCTCTGCCTTGGGCGGAGTACACTCAATAGATAACATCTCTCTGTTATCGCTTTTGTATATCGTTCCAAGGTTGTGTTGAATAATCCGGTGGACGGCCCGAGGGGATGCTGCCCCACAACCACGTGAACGCGCGACGCGATGCCACGGTGGAACACGCGACTTCCGACGACATTCTATAGCTCCATCTTCTGCTCCTGTTGTTCCGATCGCTATCCCACCAAATATAGGATGCGAGCTATTTTCAGAGGTTTGGGTTTGCCAAGCAAGGCTCGCCCCCAACGATGCTTTCAGGCGTCCATGCCTCGACCCAGACCGCCACCAGCGAGTCACGATGGCTCGACTGTCGCCTTGTCGCTGTCTACCTTCAAATGAAAGACAGCGACATCTCGCTCAATCATAACCTGGATCTCGACTTCCCGGCTTCCTGAACGCCGCCATTCAGCGCACAGCCACGAAAATGCGCAACCCCAACGGCCTCCGCATCCTACTCCTCCTCATACCGCCCCTTCTCTTCCTCTTCGGCCTCGCCGCCCTGACCAACATCCTCGAGCGCATATCCAAAAACTACTTCAACGACGGTCTCGGGCGCGACATACGCAGCGGCGCTTCCCAGATAACCTTGTCCCGCCCCGGCTCGAACGATACCACCAAGACGATTGATACCAACAACGCGCCCACAATCACCATACTCGCGTTATGCCTGCTAGGATATCTAGTCAGTCTGCTCAGTGCAGCAGGGATATGGCAATTGAGAAGGACAGAGGGCACAGCGGGACATGAGAGGATGTGGACGTGGATTATCTTCGTTAGCAACGTTGTTATGGTGGGTGCTAGTCTGGGTGTCTTTGGATACGTCACCTCTGTCCAGAGTAGCGATAGTAGCTGGAAGAACTACGAAGACGTTGGACAGGACGACCAGGAGCATACAAGAGAGACGTGGGCATGTCAGATCGACAAATTCTTCCCTGAGGAAGATTGGGCAGAAACGGCATGTGGAACTGCGAAGGCGATGAGATACATGGTCATAGCTATGGCTGTCGCTGCTCTATCAGTCTTTGTCAGTTTGTGGGTTCTTGTACGGGCGAGAGGAGGGGTCAAGTGGGCGTTCGGAGGGAAGGGGAGGTATGCGGCGTTTGCGAGTGTGTATGAGATGCAGCCGCCTGGTCCGCCGTCGCCTTATACTGGACCACAGGGACAGCAGTGGGCTCAGCAGCCGGGACAGCAATGGATGGGTCAGCCGACACAACAGCAGTGGGCGCCGCAACCTTACCAACAGTGGGGTCCGCAGCCGGTTCAGCAATGGGGTCCTCAGCTTGTAGCTCAACAGCCTGTTTCTCAGGTGCCTAAGTCAGATGCTGTAGGGCAACGTCCGGTTTTCGGATGAGGTCGCGACGAATATACGAAGTGCCTTTCCAAAGTCTACCGCGACATGGAGCATCCTCCTTTCTGTGTGTTTCTCTAGGGGGCTGATGGTATAGAGTCGATTCACTTTCACCGGGGACCATGAGAATCGCTTTCACCGTTCACTCTCGTTTGCGAAAATGGCGTCTGACCGATTACTCTAGTCCGGTTTGCGGATACTTTTACACTCTCAGGTCAAACGCCCCAGAAACCAGTCGCCAGCCGCCATGACGACGAGCTCTTCCCGCCGTATGGCGCCCTCAGCGTGCAGTTCCAGGTCGCTTGACATCGCTCCTGATAAATCAGAAAGTCATGTGGGGAGCCAGAAGAGCAACGATCTCGAAAATTTGAATTACCCGTACAACAAGACCGACAGTAGACCTGATATGCCCTACACGGTAGGCGCCACGTTCACTGCGCACCGTCACGTACCACCTGCGCCCTTCGGTAACGGCTACACCACTCCATGGCCGCCTTTCAAGACAGGCCACTTCAGACTACCGCAGCTCAACTACTGCCTTATCCGGCCGCCAATTGAAGGGTGTACGCTCGAAGAGTCCTACACGCTTACCATCACCGACACAATACGTACCGGCTCTATATACGGTGCGCAAGTCGTCTTGGTCAACGGCGATGTAGTAGCGAAGATATACGACCCGCTTTACGATGACGAGTTCGACATCTTCGACGACAAGCGCGATGTTGTCGTACTATCTGACGGGGATTACTCCCGCGAAGCTGCCGCGTACGATGAATTACGACGAGATCCGAAGGTGCAGCGTGTTGTCCCGGAGTACTATGGTAGCTGGACTATTGACGTAGACACGTTGGTGGACGGCCAGATGTACACACGACACGTTCGGCTCATACTCATGGAATATATACCCGGTACTGTTATGACCGCCATAAAGCCGCTACTGCTCTCTGCACAAACTCGCTCAGCAGTCATGAAGAAAGTCCTAGAAGCCGAGTCCCTCATCTTCGCCGCCGGTGTCCTCCATCGCGACATCGCGCCTCGCAACGTCATTCTCGTCTCCCCATCAACAGCATCTTCCCTCGACGACCCAGACGTTCGCGTGGTCATCATCGACTTCAATGTTTCCAACGTTATTCGGCTCAGCGAACCCCGTCCTGGCGACTCCGACTCCGCATACATACAACAGCAATGGCCGGGCAGGATCATGGGCCCTGTGACGAGGTTCTGGAATGCGATGAGCGATTTCGCGTCCAAGGGGTGGGTTAGTAGTAAGGCGGAGACGACGAATGAGTGGCTGTGGGAATGTTTTGGGGGGAGAGAGGAGTATGTGCCTCTTGTGAGGGATTTAGGGGATAGGAAGGCTTGTCCTAAGATTGATTGGGGTGCGGATCTGGAGAATGGGGGCACGCGGACGGATGTATAGCTGTCGAGGATGTTGATGGTAGTAGGACGTGATGATGATCTAATACGCAGGCTGATGGATACAACGCACTGCGCCGGATATGCATCGAGACAGAACGATCTATGTACTCTTCACGCGTATCAAAGAATATAAGGAAGGGTAGTAGTGTTGATCTAGGTCATGTCATGTGGAACAAGGTCACTCATGTCTTTCAAGTATGTCTGAATCGATTTGGGGTATCATCGCTACTCATACGCTAACCTACATAACACCAGGACGCCTACGTCGCCTCTCGTGAGCTCCCGGGCGGTATCCATACAACACCCTAGAAGCTTTGACAACGCCATTTACTGACTCTCGAAGTCTTCGAACGCCTTCAGTAGCCAACCCAGCAATGTCTTCCGGATGAGTGCTCGCTCCATAAAGCCTCTCGTGTGGTCTTCATGTACCCAGGTGATCTTCGCTTCTTCACCCGCAGTATACGCCTTGTCTCCACCAGTATTCAGCTGATGGAAGTCGAAGAGAAGTAAGTGTTGCCAGTTGAAGAGTGCCACATGCTTGCACTCCGAGATCTGTGCGTAAAGACACACTTGTTTGCAGTAGGAGATTCCGTTTGTCTTGAGAAGATTTCCTGTTGATGCCTTCTCCTTCCTGAGTCCGATTTCGTTGAGAGAGGCGTTGTTCGAGACTATTGCTAGTTCGAAATCGTTGTAGCGTATAAGTCCCCGGCGCTTGTATTCTAACACAGCGATAGTTTTGTCTGGGTCCGCGGTAGATTTGAAGATCAGGTCATAGCGTACTGCGAATTCTTTCTGTTTCGTTCCTGGATCTTCGAGGCTCTCTAGCCTATGAGGCTCTTTTTTGTCGTTGAGTTCGGCGTGTATAGTCCACTTGCCGGGATACAACACATGAAGTATCTCCATGATTGGGTGGATGATGTACAATGACGAGGCCTGGAAAACATCGCTTTCACTCTGAAGCGGAAGCTTTGGGAACGTAGTAGCAATAGGGCCATGGCTTGGAATGTCGTTGGTAAGTTTGGATGATTGAAGGGCTTTGTCCGCTAAGTCCAAGAACTGCTTGCAAGGCACATGATGCAGAATCACAGGGGGTACGGCCTGTTTGGTTGAATCTCCGGAGGGTTGAACGCTCTTGAAGGCCAATGTCTTTGCATCAAGGATTGGGAGTGGTTGATTGAAGCATTCAATGCGGCTTGCGGGACCGGACGCCATAGAGAACGTTCAGTGGACCGATGTTGAGGACCGATTGCGATTGGGTAACTTGGATGTGATAAGGGCTAACCACATATATGAACAGATGGAGGTATGAAGAGACTGGTCAACTCGGTGGAAAATATATCTAGGTAGTACGACCGTTTGTTGCACCTAAGGCTTGAGCACCTGAGGTCCTCTAGGCCCCAGGCGACCCACTAGGTGGCGCGATATTGTTATTGTAATCATAGTGAATAAACGCAAGCAGCTTCTAAGCTTCAAGATAGAGCTATTTTACAGTGAATACGCTGCCGACTATTTTGACAGTTGCCTACTTGGGTACAAATCGCAGACAAAGCATACCTATCTAGGTCAATCTACCCGGACATGGGGCTATTGTTTGATCAGCCGGCGACTGATCATCTAAACACTCTCTGTCTCTCTCCTTTGACATTAAACCCCCAAGAAGCGATATTGGTGAATACAGCCAGATATCACATGACTGCGCGTCATCGGGCTTAGCGCACTTGCGTTTGCGCTCCAATCCCTTCCAACGTTGCACTTTCTCCTCTCTCTTTTCCAATCACACTACTGACCCCAACATAACCAAATTATGTCAGTCGTCGAAAACGAAGTTGAGCATATCATCAGGGACCCTGCAGCCGACAACGGCGGCTGCAGCCCCTTCCCCGATCCTCCCGTTTCACCACGAACACATGACTGTGAGTCTTCGGCGAGCGAATCTGATTCAAACAACACTGCCATGCAACATCCGCGGAAGTTTCCGTATGTTGTAGGCTTCACTACGACTGCAAGAAGGCAGCAGCCCCTGGAGCCATTTGGTCTAGGATATAAGACTGAATGCCCGTTGATTCCACCTCCGGAGGACTGGAAGTCTCTATCAAAAGCGGAGTACTGCTCTTTACGCCACGTTTGCGACGATCGATCTCTCGAAGACGTAAAGACGTTGAACATCACGGCGGTCATCCGCACTGGCGAAAACAGAGGAGCACAACTCGTAGTCATCAATGATGACATGGTCGCCAAAATCTACGATCCGTTCTACTACGACGAAACGGACGAATTAAGCGGTAAAGAAGACATCATCTTCAATGCATTTTCCGACTACAGCCGCGAGGCTGCTGCCTTTCGTCAGATACAGACTTCGCCAGCAGCGCGGGAAGTCACACCTGCATTCCACGGAACTTGGACCACAGCAGTCGATACCTGGGTCTATGACAATGGTCAGGTCCAGAAGCGCACGCGTCAAGTTCCGCTGATCTTGATGGAATACATACGCGGAGAGACCATGCGCAATATCGAAGCTCGAGCACTACCGGAGCGAGTACGATCTCGCATCCTCAAGAAGGTTATAGATACCGACATTATCATGTTCCACGCAGGCATCGGCAACAGTGATTATTGTCCCCGAAACATCATGATCACCGGCCTTCGAGGCAACCTGGAAGACGATGCACTTGATGGCGTGACCATCACAGCCATCGATTTCAATGTTGCCACCGTCCGTCTTCATCCAAAATGTGCTGGCGCTGACATCGCACGCAAGGTGGAGGAGGAATACAAGGCTTGGGCTCCCAAGCTTCTATCGCCAATGATTCGATGGTACAACAGTATCGAACCATTCGCTTGGGATGATTGGTGCCCTAATGGAGACGGAGAACCAGAGCTGTGGCTATGCGAGCAGTATCATAACGATGAGCGCTATATTCCCGTCATTTGGGATCCGTCCCAACCCGACGTTAGGCCAGAGCGCGTGGAGTTCGAAAGCGGTTCCGAGACAAGCGTGGATTCAGGTCTGGGTTTAGACATGGCAATTGAGAAAGGCGAGAACGACGACTGGAAGAACGTTGTTGAGTTTGCTGACTAAAGCGCGTCTGCTGTACAGTCGCCATGAGCTTTAGTAGGCGGGAACGAAGTTGTTGTTCGCTCTGGACGTAATTAGATACCCATCGATCGGCATCAGGCCTGGAAAATGTATACTCTCTCTATTGTACATGTATCCCTGGAGTATTGAGTGCTCATATAGTCGATTTGCCCTTCTCTTGGATGGTTATGTGATGAAGTTTTCGCAGCTCTGCATAAATCGATAGTTCACATCAACGTCGCCGCAATGACATCCTCCTCAGCTCCTCTCCCTGCCGACTTACGCCTACTCGCAGCCCGTCTGGTTGAACTTCATAATCGAGGATGCGTTCGATCCGAAAGCCACAGCGCGATCAATCCATGCATCGATGCTTTCAGCGGCTGGCTGTCGCACCCTGCTCAAGATGTACAGCGTATTCCACTTCTGCGTCTGCACAATCGCCCAATCGACGGCGTAATCTGCGCATCAACGTTAGTGATCGTGCACTTCGATTAATGCTCATAACACGACTCACCTTGCACAATGTAGTTGGGTCCTGGGCATTCTGCTGTTGATGGCGTGCCAGGGAAGCTGACAACGAAAGCACCGCCGGCGCCATAGGCAGAGTCTACGGGCGTAGCTGTGCCAACAATGTCGACTGTTCGTGGGCCGACAGTCGCAGTGTTTGTGACGCGCACCGTGCCATTGTCCTGTATCCGCTGTCAACCGCTGCATATGCGATCTAAATCCATAGAAACACGTACGTTGAGTTCGTAATTTGCGCTCACGCAGCGTGCGCCGGCCGTAGGACCGAATGGCGTACCAGCGACCTGATACCAGGTACCGAGATACGCGTTCAGATTGAACTTGGAATCAGGGACGGGGTAGAAACAGGTTCCGTCATACTGTGCGGCCGCGACGTTGGGTGTAGAGCTCGTCTCGTTGTAAGAGGCTTGACGAGGGTGGATGAAGCCTGAGGCGGCGGAGGAAAGGGCGAAGACGGTGCTGACGACGCGCATCTTGAGTAAGCTTGTACCGTGTGTTAGGATTAGAGATTATGGTGTATGGTGTAGACAAGGCAGGGATGGTAATAATTTTGCAATGAGGACGTGCCTCCCTCTACTTGACATAAAAAAAACTGTGGCTGGTGGCACGTCACTCCCAAGCCACTATACAGTACCACGCTTTCATAAACAGTCCAGACTCGGACACATGTGCACGTCGCCGGTACCTTTCCCGGACCGACAGGAACCATCGTGAACGCGCATCGGTACACACGTGTTGCCAAGCATGCGGACTCTTTTCCTCGGTCGAAATGTGGTAGCGGAGGTGCCCGGCTCTTCATCTCATTACGAGATGTCGCGGCTGTCGGCAACCGCAGCTGTTGTTTAGTAACGAGGTTGGTGTTTTGAGGACAGGGGTGAGCGACCGTGGGCTGGTGATGACGTATGCGCCGACTTGGCATGGAGCCGCATCACCGCCTTCGTCGCGTGGCCTCTACACTACCATATTTGCTTGGTTTCGCCTATGGAGAATGCTATGGAGGCATCCGAAGCTAGGTTCTGTCATCGGATCAAGTAAAGCCGTTGCGAGCTTCGTGACAGTCCCAGGGCTTGTGCAGAACTCGGGTTGTTTTTGACCTAACAGCTATCATTGATCTGCCTAGCCATCTATCCATTACAGGAGTCCTTTAGTGAGCTGTGAGTTTACGAGAAGAGACCCGAATCAAGACAGGCCACTACCTGGCTCACCCAAAACAACATCGCACGCTTCAAGTAGGAATCCCAAGAACGCCAGACGCATACTATCTCTTGGAACGGCGGTGACCCGAACTCCTTCAATCCCCAAGACGTTTCCGAACCTTAAAAGAACGAGGTTGTCGTAATCGCAAAGAGCAACGTATGAGCATTTGTAGGCCTTTGGCTCGTCCACCCACCGCCGATCGATCGTGTCACCTTCAGTTATGCCATCCAGTGTGTTTGGACATAGCCACTTGATAGTCATGAGCAATCTCGGTTGGTGTGTCCCCATGAACTTCTCATAATAGAGTGTTACCCGACTGTAGCCCACCTACCCATTGAGTTGCACGAGTTGAGTAGGATATTTCATCACGATGGCGTGATCGAGAGGACATTTGAGCCATATACGAGCAGCGTCGAAGACATCGTCGTCGGTTTTGAGGGGTCTGAGTGAGTTGTCGTCGGGATCTGGTGGGATGGGTAGCGGAGGGTCTTGGTGGATTAGCGAATCGGGATTTGCGTTTTCGGCTTCGAGGAAGACAGTGGCGCTGCGTATGTAGTCTGTAGGTGCATCGGTCGGCCAGATGGTACATATGCTCTGATCTCCCATGCCTTTGAGGTACGGGTTCTTGTACTTTACCAGCTCTTCGTCCGCGTTGTCGAGTGGTGAGCGGTAATCGTGCGCCATTGTGCTGAGAGGATTCGCGTTTTGTAACTAAGGCGATACTGTGTATGAATCCTGAGTAAGCTAACGAGTTAAGCTGCTGATCAAGTGAGAGTGATCTGGAGGCGTTGGGTGGAAAGGACGGCGTACCGGCACGTCCAAAGCAGTCGAACTTGCCGAAACTCATAGTGAGTGCGGCTGCTACAATTCCACACTGGTGTGGCAGGAACAATGTAGAAGATGCACACCTCATCGATTTCTGACGTGAAGCGTGACAATCATAAAATAAATAGTAACGGGACTGCTACAATAGAACGCTAATGCGCACAGCGCTTGATCCATGATCCGTACGCGCCTACCGTGACGCCAAAGCTCAGGAATACCCTAAAAAATGAACAAGAAAGTAAGAATGAACAGCTATTGCAAGCTCTCCGTAGGAACAATGGAGACCTTGAAGATGGTACCAGCCAGTGATGAATCACCGCCGACCGTCACATTACCGGAACCAGATCCGACGCTGTTATGACATCCCTCTTTTCCCTCCTTCTGAAGCATACGAGCAAAGTAGCCATAGCAATCCTCGACCTTCCAGAATACACCAGCAGAGTCCTCAGGTTGGGAAGCTGGGGTAACATCAACTGCAACCTTCGTTAGTACGTCTGGATGCTGCGAATTGGATAAGAGTTTCTTACATCTGACAGCATAGTCGGTAATTCTGTTACCATCGCTACCCACGACATTGGCATCCTGTGTGCTGTTCTTGTCGCCGTTGAGTGGGTAGTCAACAGTCGCGGTACACAGCGTACCGGTGGGGATGCGGTCTGGATAGGCGCAACCGGGCATCATGGCGGCGCAGGCGTTGTTAAGGATAGTTTCGAGTTTGGGATCAGCTGTGAAGCTGAGTAATTTTGGGGAGTCGGGGTCGCATGTCGTGATTGTGTCGGATGCGGGTTGCCAGCTGTCACTGGCCCCCGTCTTGGGTGACTGCCGTTGGACGAGCGGTGCCGCGAGCGCCGTCGCTAGAAACGCGCTGAAGAGCATTTGGGTGTACATTCTGGCTGAGAGATCCGACGTGGAAGGTAGGGATGTGGAGAAGATGTGGTACAGCGAGTTGAGTGTCGGTAATGGGAGAACTTGGCGCTTGTCGATACTGGAGGGAAAGACAGGTGGAGGGGAGTCTTTACAAGTCAATGCGCCAAAGCAGTGAGTTCTTCGGTGTTGTGAATGGTCGGTTATCGAGGGAAGAATGTGAGCGAGCGGCCCATCTTCTATATTACCTCTCTCTATGTCATACGCTAAGCATTAGAGTTGTAAGTGATCACCGTGGGGTCGGGAGCACGGTGATGCAAGGTGTGGAGTTAGGAAATGAGGGACCCCCTGTGGGTGACGGACCGTTACAGACATCTCTTTGTTTCCTTCTTTTGCGAGCGGTACAGGGGATTGGCCCTGCATGATGTCTGCCTGTGGACAAGAAACAAGGTTACAAAAACAGGTCTAGACTTTATTGAAACAAAACAGGGTCGTCTGCATGGCTGTGGTCCCTTCAAATCAATTTTGGTGAAGCTGGTGAGTTGAAATGGCGGACGCGTGGGGTCATCTCTCTCGATCAAACGATCGGCAGATCTACCGTCCGTGCCATGAGGCGCGTGGAACCTTCTTCGAAGAACACATCGTTCTTATGAGCTCGCTGCTCAATTGTTCATTGGATTGCAGATGTTTCGCGCGTGCTTCCGCGATTGCGCTTCCACACCCTCTGCCCTTACGCATGGTGACTCCTGGGGGCGCTGTTCTCACAACGTCATTATGCGCGGATTACGGCGAGCAGTCGGGAGGATGCTTGTTCGGTGGTATTGATGAAACAACGAGGTGCCACGCCGCCGTGAAGTTGCTCAGGATAGGGACCGAGAAGCTATGTCATCTGCCAAGGCTCTAGTTCGCCCTTCATTTCCCTGTTGCGCGAATGCCAGGGCTTCCCAACACCAAAGCATCCAGCGCAGTCGAAGCCGAATCTTCTCAAAGCCTCTCAGAAGTTGCGCAGTCTCAGACCAGAGATGCGCGCTGCGACCTTTACCAGAGGTGTACGGTCATGAATGCCTAGACACTCAACAAACAGCACCTGTGCCAGTGTCCAGCAGTCGCGATGTGCCTGCGCAGTAGCAATAGCAGCACGGCAGAGCAGCACGGCATCAGCAGATGTACTGCGCAGAGTCCTGACTAGAAATCCGTTTATCCCACCGAGCGCAATCCTTTTCAATCCCCGAGGCGTTAAGAACATGAATGCGCAGTCATTAGCATTAGGGGTGTAAGATTCCGATACTCTTTCGCGCATTGTCCATAAGGAGCGTACTGCTTACGCCAGCTGGCAAGAGGATTGCCTGCTAACCCGAAGAAGAAAATCTGGAGCGTACACCGTTCAGCCATACAGATTCGCGTACGCGCAGTAAGCAGCGCCTATCGCACATCAGCCTCGAAGGCCAGGCTATACCTAGGCTTCAGCGATGTGCCGTTCATGCGTAGCTTTCTTCGACATTCACCCTCATCACCCTTTACTTGTTTACCATCAACTTTCAGCATGAACACCAAGGCAGAAGCAAACACATGGGCGGATACACCATTCGCCCTCCTCAACATTCCCGGTCAACCAAACACACCAGCATGCACGAATGCCGGTGTTCTCAGTGTCGCCACAGAGATGGCCAATGTTCACAACGTCTTGCTCCGCGCTCTAAATTCCGTATATCACCAAGCGCCCTTCATTCAACTCCCTGGCGATGTAGCGGATCTTATGCTATACGTCACCGCATGGGCGGATACCGTGCACCACCACCACTCCCTTGAAGAGGCTATGTTCTTTCCAAAGATAGAGCAGATCGCAAGAGAGGCTGGAATAGATGGCTGGGAAGGCATGATGGGAGGAAACGTGGACCAGCATCATGAGTTTGAGCCGAAGATTGCAGGGCTGGTGAAGTGGGCCGAAGAAGTTGGGGCTGGACAGAGAACGTATGACGCGGCGGAACTGAAGAGCCTGATCGATGAATTCGCACCCGTCCTCACTCAGCATCTACATGACGAGATCCATACCTTGATAAGACTCGAGGACTGCGACGGGGAGAAGATCAAGCAGGCGATGAAAGACGTAGCTGACGAAGGAGCAAAAACTGCTGATCCGGTGCGTAACCTGGCGTTCTCAACAGCTGCTCACCATCAAGCAAAATACTGATAAGCTGCCTCATCAGAATCTTGTCATCCCGCTGGTACTTGGCTGTGTCGACAGAAGCTACCCTGGTAGTGGAAACTTCCCACCTGTCCCGTTCTTCATCCCGTACCTGAACGCATATTGGTTCACGCGAAAGCATAAGGGTGCTTGGAGGTTCAATCCAAGCGATCACTGGGGCAATCCAAGGCCGTTGCAGTTTCTCTCATGACCATTGCGAGAGGTCTAAATAATGTCAGAAAACCAACATAGCACGGCGGTTCTCGAAGCTTGTATGTATTCAGAGGTTTTCTGTGTGATGAATGAAGACTGTCGGGGCTCATGTAGCTTCTGCAGTTGCAGTTTACCTCGGCAATGGAGGCTCAGGCACGCCTTGTATACCTTTTGGCTTCCTTTTATCTGACTACATTATTTCACTCTACCCGATGTATTCATTGGGGTATTTCGAGGCCGCAACATCTGCCTCGGTAGGTTATGGTAGTCGGATACATTCACATCGAACCACATGCGAGGTACATCTAGGCAGCCTTGCCACCAGGTAATAAAGCAACTTTCCCATCGAAAGCGCTCCTTAGCGTCACATGAGTATCACAAGCCCGATATTTATCTCCTTCTCGAATCTCTGCTACCTCAACACCAAAGTCATACACTTGCAGCCAACAGATATGTCTGTCAACAGCGTACCCACAAGCCCCCTTCTAAAGCTCCCCGGAGGTGAGTAAGAGCTAGCACTCCAGGAGTAAAGATAGCCGTATGACAATGAGCTAACGTATGTTGATAGAGCTCCGCAATTGTATCTACAACTATGCACAAGACCCACGCGATGTTCGTCTGATCCACAAGCCCACCCAGCAACACGAGCAGACAAATAAGACTCAACCACAGTTCTTCGGTCTCACACAAGTCTGCCGCCAGCTTCGGTCAGAGTATCTACCCATGTACATGGCGCAGACCAAAGTTCATATTCAGTGCCAGGACTCGCTTTCTTACATCAAGACCTTCATTCTTCCTACCGGTACAGACCCTAAGCAAGCTCGCGGAAACCTCATCGTCCAATTACCAGACCAGTGGTATGAATCTCGGGGCGCATCACCCCCTCAAAAGGACATCATAGAGGCCATAAATCTCTGCAGAAGCGCTCCACAGGTTAACATAGCCTTCGCGCTACGCGATGTCCCGCTATCGCAGAGCCGTTTTGCAAGCCGCCGTATGCAGGATATTCTGCGCGACCTCGAACAGCCGGAAGCTACGCCTGAGCTGCACGATTTCATCCAAAACTCCGTCGAGCATGTAGAGTGTTGGATAGAGATGCGGCTCGATGATTCGAGTTATCACTTGAATGATTACGTCCATGTAGTATTCAACGTCGATGAGGAGTGGAAAGATTGCTTGACGGATGGGTGAGAGACTGCTGCTGTTTACAAGGCCTTTTTGAACGATCCAAATTGGCCGCGACAGTACGATTTGAAGAAGAATACGAATTCAAGAGTTGCTGGGTTGGGCTAGATCCGTACATGTAGTTGCCTAGTCGAAGTGTACCTCATGTTACTTCGCAGACCAATGATTGTTGAAGGTGCCATGGCTTTGGTGTTGTTTCTTTGCGTCATCTGAAAGATGTTTGTAGGCATTGAACGTATGTATGAGATTACAGAAGCTGTGGGTGGCCCACCCGGTACTCGTCTGAGTCGCTGTGAACCAGAAGAGTAGGACAAGGAATGCTCGGAAGCGTCAATATAGTAGGCCTAGGCTTGAACTCGATGAACTTGAAAAGGGCCACTGGTTGCAGATCAGCATTTGGTGAGATTGATAAGGTGTTGACAACGAGCGTCCGCGACATCGCCAACACCATACTTGCTGTCATAGTTCATACTTCCTCAACTGTCCACGATAAGTGAGCAGAAAATCACCCATGACGCCATAATGATCTGAGACCCAATCTAACTCTCCCGCCTCCTTCATGATCTGTCTATGTTCCTCTGCTACCTTGACGCCCATACCAATCCTCTGGAACTTGCAAGGACCCAGCCATCCCCGGAACAAGATCTTGTCCATCCTGCTACAGCCAAACCTATCTCTCATGGCTTGTGGAGACTGATAGCCCCAGGTATACCCGTGGTCGCTGTCTTCTTCTCCGGGCCCATTGCGATTAGTTGGTAAATGGTTGTCATCGTAGACAATGAAGTTACCGAAGACGGTAGCGTCACTTGGTGCATTGGCGTGACCGCCAATAGAGAGATACATATCCTCGAGCTCATTTTCTGTGTGCAGAGAGCGATCAAAGGGCTCGATAGCATTGAGGTCGCCAGCTAGTATTGCGCTTTCGACGTCCGGGTGGCTGAGATACTGCTTTGCGGCTGCCATCTGAATGGGGCGGACAGGTGGATCAGCAACCAGAGACTCCAGATGTGTGTTACATAGCCGTAGTAATTTTACAGGAAGATCTGGACGAATGCAGTTGTAGAGCTTGATGTCAACAAACAGGCCGTCCCGTCCGAACTTGCTGTACCATGGAACGCGAAACACAGAGTCTACGTGCATTCGCCGATCGACGAGTGTGGTCGTACCATAGTGAGAGCTCAGCCAGTTTTGCGAGTCGATGTCTGTGAGGTTGAAGCGTTGCTTGACCCAGACCGAGTCTCGAATCTGCTCCATGTCCGACACCCCCATCTCCTGTAGGAATATGACGATTGCAATATCTGGCGGGGTCGACGATACTAAGTTTCGCAAATAATCTAGTGCAGCACTCATTCTTTCTTCTGCGAACGGAACGAGGACATCGATATTCCAGGAGATCAAACGAAGCTTCCTGGGATGCAGAAGTGTCTCTGATTCGTCTTTTGGGAGCGCTTGATCGGATATTGCTGGTGTCCAATTGCCGTCAGGTGCGACTCGATAGTGAGTCTGGTTTCTTGGCTCGTAAAAGGCATCTTCGCGTTTCTGTATGACAGAGGAGAAACTGGCCGCGACGGCCTGCATGGCAGGGTTAGGCTTTACTGACGACATGCTTCTGGGAGGTCTAGTAGGCAGTCAAAATGTAGGTGGAGCTGCAGAAAGTTTGGAAATTGTAGGACGTGTGCATTTGGACACAGCAGACAGTACATTGCGGAGCATGATGTTAATTGTAGTCGTCCACGGGTGGTTGCCTAGATAGTGCTGATGCGGGGTGAGTGAAGCGCGCCGCTGAGGGCGAAACAATGCTGGATGCTGTGGTTGTATCGCTTAACTATATACAATAGTACAATGGAACAAAGACGGAGCACAAATTGTAACCGGGGTCGATGTAGATGATGCGCAGGAGCAGATGCGTGTTCTTGGAGGTGCGAGCGCCTGCACGTGATGCGGTGAGGGTACCCCTGTCGTCAATGCCGAAGCGCGTCGTGAACTTTCGCGATTCAGAAGGAGCTTCAACCTGGGGAAGCTGCCACGACACCCGCTCTTCGCCTCGCCAGAAAACTCGTCTCTCTACCGTCATCGCCGCGGAACGCTCTCCCGAATTACCAATCTCCTAACCCATCGCTATTCCCCAACCCCGCCATGGGCTCCCGACTACACAATGCTCCGATCGTGATAGACAACGGCAGTGGAACCATCAGAGCTGGATTTGCAGGCGAGGATGTGCCAAAATGCTTCTTTCCGTCATATGTAGGACGGCCGAAGCATGTGCGGACAATGGCAGGCGCATTGGAGGGCGACGTATTCATAGGACCACAAGCACAACAATATAGGGGGCTCTTCAAGATCAACTACCCATTGGAGCACGGCATTGTCACAGACTGGGATGATATGGAGCGGATATGGCAGTATGTCTATACAGAAGGCCTGAGGACCGTCAGCGAAGATGTGAGTTGGACCGTGGCAGACTGCCATTGAGGGGCATCAAGCTGACTATCTGTTTCTATAGCATCCTGTACTCCTCACAGAGCCTCCGCTAAACCCCCGAGAAAACCGCGATACGGCTGCCCAGATTCTATTCGAGACGTTTAATGTGCCCGCCTTATACACATCGGTCCAAGCCGTCCTTTCGTTATACGCATCCGGCAAGACAACTGGTCTAGTTCTAGATTCGGGAGACGGTGTTTCGCATGCAGTGCCAGTCTTCCAGGGTTTTGCGATCCCCAACAGCATCAGGAGGATAGACGTGGCAGGCCGAGACGTTACAGAGCACTTCCAGCAGCTACTAAGGAAAAGCGGCCGCGTTTTCCACACCAGCGCTGAGAAGGAGACGGTCAAGAACATCAAAGAGGCAACAGGATACGTGGCACTCGATCCGGCCAAGGAGGAGAAGGACTGGTCAGGCTCGTCCAGATCAGAGGGCAAAAGCGTCGACTACGCATTACCTGACGGCCAGAAGATCAAGGTGAGTACAAGTGACGAAACGCATCGTACACGAGCTGACAGTCTAGATCGGAGCGGAACGCTTCCGAGCACCAGAGATACTCTTCAACCCGGAGATCATTGGTCTGGAGTACCCTGGCGTGCACCAGATTGTCGTCGAGGCGATACACAGAACCGACATGGACCTCCGAAAGGCGCTTTATGGCAACATTGTACTCTCCGGAGGTTCCACACTGACAAAGGGATTCGGAAACAGGCTGCTTCATGAGGTGCAAAGACTGGCGGTGAAGGACATGAGGATCAAGATCTTAGCACCACCAGAGCGCATCTACACCACGTGGACCGGTGGTAGCATTCTTGCGGGCCTCAGCACCTTCAAGAAGGTAAGTTTCTTATTCCCAACGAGGCTGTAGCCAGTGAACTGACACGTGCGTGCAGATGTGGGTAGAGAAAGACGAATGGCAGGAAAACCCAGACATCATCCACACCAAATTCGCATAAGCACCGACACGTCGTCTTTGGCAGCAGCACATACTCCGCACCCGTTTCTCCCGCCTCCGCATCATCTTTCGAGAAGGAGCTGCGTGGTTGCATGGGTAGCGCAGTTGCAGTTAGTCATGGAATGGGGTCCCAAGACCTGGGGTCGCGCCAACCACCGAGGAAGAAAGCTGGGGGCTGCGCGCTTGGTTGGGTGATGGCAGATCTACGTGTCAGCCGGTAGCCGTAGCTTCTAGACGGGAGAGCTACTGTAGCATGCTGCTTTCCCCGCATTCGAGTGCGTTTCTGTTACTTAAGCGCGAGCATGGTTCGAGAGTGTCGGTTAGGTAAGGTGTACGAGGGGAGAGCCCGTGCATGGCAGGCGTTTGTGAGCGCTTTGGAATACCCCTATGATTATGAAGCGTACAGAATACCACAATTAATCCACCTGCGAATGTGCACACCGAGGGCGAAACGGAAAGTTACAGTCAGATGGTTTGGGCGAATGGGTGTGCCAAGCATCGTGAGGTCTTGTCTAGTCGCGTCAGCTATGGTGTGACTGCGGTCAAATCACCAATGCTTCACTCCACGTAATGTGCAACGCATATTACACACAATGGCGACATGACATGCGCAAATAGCATCACCCCGGCTGCAGCGATCGCGAGCACTGCAGGTACCTGATCACAGGGCCAGCCACAACAGGGGGCCACGTACCTGTTCGACACCGCAGACCGCAAGCACAGAGCCGCCCACGCCTAGACTTCACGATGCTCGACGTCATGCACGACGGTGCGTCCGGAGGCTCGGACGGCCAGCTGAACGTGCGCGGTCAGCTGGCAGAGCGAAAAATTGAGCGGCCGAAGGTGTACTTGCTTTTTTGGAAGACGCCACCAACGATGAAGCTCACTGTGCCTTGCAGAAGGATGGATATCGATGCATGCAATGGGTATCAAAACAGCAACACCAGCATCAAACAGGCAGCGTCAGAATCTGCAGCGTCTCCATCTCGGTTCTCCTCTGATCCAGGCACCCGATGGCAAGCGCAGAGCGTATGCGGCGTATGCATGACGCGAGCCAGAGGTGAGACGCAGCACCGCAAAAAAATCTCTTCCCGCCTCCACAGTCTCCGGCGGGAAGCGTGCGCTGGCCGTCGCGGAAGCTGGCACAAGGCCCCAGTTTGCGCATGGCGTCTTCTGCGTCAAATTTTCAGTCAGACACCTCACAGGCGGCGCTTCGGCCATGTGCGCTGCGGTTGCTGCGGAGCCAAGCTCCGGGCTTTCGATAGCGTCATGGGCTCGATCGCTTCGCTCCTTGTTCTCCGCTGCACCTGACCATTTCCCCTGGCAATCTCTTACCCCCGAGAAACTCGCTCCAGCCAATCACCGCGTTTTGAGGGGGTAATGGTAAACTATTCATGGTGCTGAGAAATTTCCTACACTGGCCTTGTTAGGGGACGCATGATCCATTGACTGCCGTTAACTGCAAAGTGTCGCTCAGACTTCCAAGGCTTCTGAGCTGGCCTCGTGCGCGTCTGGTTCGTTTCGTGGCGCCGAAAAAAAGCTTGCGCGTGAGAGGTTTTCTTGCCTTGCATTCCAGTAGTAAGAGGGGATCGTGATCAGTGCGACGCTGTTTGTTATATAAACCCTCTACCCCAGTAGGTCTTGTTGACTATCAACGATCATCAACCACTACAGATCTTCCCGAAGCTACCTCTTACTATCAACACTACCCCAGATTTATATCGACGACAGTCGCCACTTGACTTGCTCCCAACAACCAAACAATCAACCAACCTCACTACCAACAATCAAAATGGTCAGCTTCCACATCAACGAGCCTCACCCATCCGCCGGTGCCTACATGTACTCTGGCCGCGGCGGCGCCGGCAATGCCATGCGCATCAAGCCCACTGAGGTCACCCCCGGCCCCACAGCCTCAGGTCCAGCTTCGCGCACCAAGCTGCCTCCCCCACCCAGCAACGCCTTCTACGCCACCGGCCGTGGCGGTGCTGGCAACATGAAGAAGTCTGAGCGCGCCATCTTCAGCTTCGACGAGGAACTCCAACAGCAAGAACGCCTCCGCACTCAACAAGCACCCGTCTACCACATCGGTCGCGGCGGTGCCGGCAACCTCGTCGACGAGATGAAGCCCCGATCCCAGCGCCAGAACTCCGCCTCCTCCACTTCCAGCTCCTCGAGCGTAGAGAGTGAGAAGGACGGCGTCCGCCGCAGCATGGAGTCCGCATGGCAGCGCCTGAGCAGGCAATTCTCTCACCAATAAGAGAGTTACTGCCGCCTCTTCTTGCGCCCAACCTTCACTTCTTGCATACCCCATCTTCAACATGAGAGCTGGTTCTGAATCTCTCATCATCTCAGCATTTCCATCAGCACGGCGTTTCCACGGGAGGTCTACCATCATCTCCCATTGTACAATCACCAACAACAAAAGTCCCTTTTTATCACGACATCATTTTCTCCCTTCATAACGACATATCCACACAACCATCGAGGAGCCAGGCGCCTACCTCCGGTCATCAACACACATAAAAGTAAAATCTTGATACCCGGAAACTACGTCCTGATCTTATGAGAGAGGGCCCACTGTTCTCTGAACATTTTTTTTTTCATCATTTGCGGAAAGGGGAGGAGAAAGTTTATACCCCCAAGGCCAGTGAGAAGCTGGTGAGGACAAGGACGGGTTCGTCTTTGCCTCTGTTTATAGTTTTAATTGAATGATCTCCATCTTCATACTTTTGTGCCAGCTTGCCACTCTGTGACTGTTCCATGTTACCATCCTATATAAAGTTCAGGACACAAATGATGTCGTATACTTTGAAGTGACGCAACGTCATGAACACTTGGCAACGTCTTCCCAGTAACACACGTCCATCCATCCATCCATTCCCTCAGAGCTTCCCTGCTCGGTACTTCACAACTGCGCAAGACTTCTTCACCAAGCAAAAGTTCCCCATCATCTCACAATAACGAATCCAGCCTTTTCGCCCTCTGAGCCACGACTCACCACAGCACCGCCGCGCCTCGACTAAACCAGCCCAGCCACCAGCACCACCGCCAACCGTAAACACGCCAAGCTACCCACACGAAATATAACCCGTTTCGCGGAGTCAACTCCGCCAAGTGTCCTTCTGTGGCGTGTAGATCTAGATCGGCCGGCCCAGCAGAGCTAGCTTGCATGCGTACGTGCATACGGGAGGGAAGATCAGACTATTGCGAGTAGGTGTTCTCACCGGAAGATCTTGAGGTCTAGGGATGCGGGACGGAGGAACATGACCGATGTGGAGATCGTGAGAATGGGCGGGATGGGCGGGATAGTGGAGTGGAGTGGAGTGTCACCGGTTGGAGGGGCGATCTAGTAGGAGTACGTGTCCTTGGTGTTGATTTTGTGGGCGGGTGGGAGTGTTGGCGTTGAGTGGATTTCTGCGTGTACCGCATGTAAGGGGAATTTTGGACGGGCCTGCGGACTACATTATAATGAATGTATGCAAAGTAGGTAATCTAAGAGCGTTACGATGGGTATATAAGCCAGTGGGTATCTCCGAAAAGGTGTCAAAGTCTGGTGTAGCCCTTTACTAGTATCAAAAAGGTCGCAAAATAAGAGACCTGAGAGCAACGTAGGCTTCATTGTATTTACCTTTTCCCATTTAAATAAGGTGCGTGGGTTCGTCAGGTAGTAAGATTAGCCTAGGGGTGAATCTCCTGGGTTTCCGTGAGTAGAGAAGGTCTACATACAACAGTGTCAAAACATCGATACCAAACGGACGACCGACTTTACGACAGACGATACGCGTGCATTCACATGGATTGCACGGAGATTGGGAAGAACAAAATGCCAATTTATGATATCTCTACACACTGGGAAACCTCCCAAAGAGCGCCGTATTATGAGTAGTAATTCTTTTAGTTGGCCCTTTCAAGACAGGGCTATGCAATGATCCCATGATGACTGATGTGAAGAGAACGAATACCAAAAAAAGAGAACCGCGAGCCAAGAACTACCAATACACGTTCTCGAAGCGCTTCAGGACCCCAAATTCCGTCGCGACCCCGGAATAGCCTGTCAACGAATCCTTTTGTTCCTTCAGCGCCTGGGTTGCGCTTTGCTAGCCGTGCTGATCAACAGCTTGAAGCCGTTCTTGAGCGCCAGCATATCGGGGTAGACGTTCTTGTGGAGTTCGAATGCGTTGGGGACGACCTTGATGCCCCAGGCTCCCTTGGGTCCGCGGGCGCTCATCTGGAAGCAGATCCAGAAGTGGCCAGGGTACTTGGGCATGCTGCAGAAGGCGTACATGGAACGTGAAGGGTTGGCTTCGCAGTAGTTCTCTAGCCATTTCTCTGTGAGAGGGTTAGGTTGTGTCTCTAGAATTCATAAGGTAAATAGTGTGATCGACTTACCAGTATCTTCTCGTGTACCAGGTTGGAAGCGCTCGTCTCGTGTAATCTCTGTGACCTTGCGTGCCATAGCCTCGACGTGGTTGACGATCAACTCGTCGAGATCGGAGTATGTGTGCTTTCCAATCTTGAGCTGCTTTCCGAGCGAAAATTGGTTTGCCTTGTTCATCTCGAGAACGTCGAGATGCTGGTAGGCGTTGTTGGATACTTTCCATGTGACGACTAGATGGTCGAAACCCTTCGAGGATGGACGAATGACCAAGTCACCGGTCTCCTTACCGCCGAGGTACTCTTCGGCTTGCATGGTGTTGAAAGCGAAGAACAGAGGGTGGTTGACGACACGGTTGGGCCGACCGGACGCAACTTCTTTCTCCTTCTCGGCAGCCTTCTTGTCCTGAGCTTCTTGTGCGTCATCCCACTCACCAGCTGCGCGGTTATAGGGCTTCTTCTCTGGCGCTCGGATGAGATCATCCCGGAGCGACAGTTGTGCGGTGAGAGCCTTGCGGTTGAGGTAGACGATACGTGCGCGCACGATCTGATGACTCTGGTAGACGTGGCGAGGTTCTTGACCGCCACTGCCAACACCCTCTGGGAACTCTGATTCAGAGACGCCACCTTCGATGCCGCATTCCAGCTTGACCTCGATGTGGTCTGGGAATGTTCGCCTGATGGTAACGGGTACGACCATACCCTCATAAAGTGTCTCCTCCGTCTCACCAGTCAACATTGTGAACAGCTCAGCACCAGACAGCAGCGCAAAGATCTGTCGGATCTCCTCGTAAGGGTTGTCGAGCTCAGCGCGAATAGTCTCGAGTGTTGCGCGCTTCCGCTGACCGAAGTTCCGTTCAATCTCCGCAGCGTAGTCTTCCAGAGCTAGGTCGTTGACCAGATCGGTGGTCTCCTCCCGCACCATCTTCCTAACAACGGCACTGGGTCCACCTTCGTCAGTCTCGGCCTTAACATCCTCTTCGTCCATGTTAAGGGCGTCAGCGACCATCTTCCTGGCAAGATCGTAATCTTCTGGATGTACACGGGTGTAGTCCAAGTAGTCGGAGGACTCTTCTGTTGAATCGTAGGGGATGTAAAGGAAACTGGCGCAATTCTGGAAGACTTTGGGACCCATGGCTGCCTTGAGGTCCCTAGACTCAGACACACCAAGGAGATCGAACCGTGACAGAATCTCATCGCTGTTGGCCTGAATGGCCTTGATCAAGCGATCGGCCTTACGAGGACCCAGACCACACACGTAAGGAATCAACTTTGAGAGGTATTTATCGTCGTACGTCTCCGGTAGGTCGATACCCACGAGGTTGACCATATCCACCATCGCGGTTTCTAGGCGGTCTAGGAGCTTCTCTTGTGGGATCAAGGTTTGGTTGGGGATGAAAGGTATCGAAACGATATCTTTGCCGAGTGATGCGTATTCCGCCAATGGATTTTGCAGGTACCGTCCGAGAGCAACACAGTACCTTGTTAGCGCGGGATACTTGGGGAACTCGGCGATAGCCCGGCCACTCGTATGATAGAGACGAGCGACCTCATCGTTGACCAAGATCACCTCCAGTGGCTCGTTCCTCTCTTCACCGGTGTCCTCGTCCTCGTACGCTGGGCCAGTCAGGCCTCGCTGGCCGATGATTTCCTGAAGGTCCTTGTACAGTTTGCGTGTCTCGACCGAGAAGCCAGAGACACCGATCACGTCTGGTCGGCGGCGCTGAATCACGTCGACAAACTTGTCGATGTCCTGGCCTTCAGGAATACCGCGCTCCGCATTTCCAAGGCGCATCTCCACCAAACGGCCGTGCTCAAGTACCCGCCCATCGTTCTCGACGTAGGCCCACATGATCGCGTCTCCACGTTGGCCTTTACCGTTGGTCAGGCAGAGAACGTTGGGTACAGATCCGAGAGGTGCACTCTTCAGCTTGTAGGGCGCTTGATCAAGCTTGTTGTAGTAGTTCTCTCTTGCTGATGCGGCGAGTTCATCCTCACATCGAGCACGCAGAGTTTCTTTGACACCGTTGGCGATGACAACCTGTAGCTTGTCTAGCGCCGCGCCGAGCAGTTCCTTACGAAGGGCGTTCCAAGTGTCAGAGACTTCACTGACACCTTCGGAGATGATCTTTTCCTCAAGCTTTATCTTGAAGTTCCTGTAGTTGCCCATGGAGATTCGGACCTGTACAAGACCTTCCGCCTCGGCCTTCAACATCTTCAAAAAGAGGTCCGGTCGACCTTGAAGATCCGAAAATGTGACGCCACGTAGGTACTTGAATTCGTAGTAGAGGTGGTCCTCTGTAATCTTTCGCATGCCCTTGTCAGTGCGAATGCAGTCGATCTGGGCGTTCTGGTAGAAGCTACCACGCAAGTATCGACGGAGGCGTGAGCACATTTGCAAATCCTGAACATACAAGAGCTTCGTAGACCTGAGAAGAGTGGCGCCAGTCTCTGGAGCGTCAGCCATCTGGTCGGCGAGCTCTTCAACCTTGTATGGCGGGTCCTCAATTGTATGCGCGCCTCGGTTCGACCCATCAATCTTCTTTGCAAAGTCCTCAGGTGTGATGCCGATCGCTTTGACGAGTTGATTGGCTTTACCGCCCCTCAGCTTATCGAAGAAACTGCGCGCGTTGTTGGCACGCTTCTGTGTTCCGTTCACTTCTTGTCGGACCTCGTTGATCTCTTGCGAATACTTGTAGTGCAGGTAATCTTGAAGTTCCTGGATTTCTTCAATAGTAATGGCCTTGGCTGCCAACTCCTCGATCTCGGGATCGGTGATGTCAGAGTATACACTCTTCAGATTCTCGTAGTTTTGCTTGAGGGCGTCGCGTTTCTCTGCAAAGGCCCTGAACTTGAGGTCGAATTCGAATACTTCCCACAGATCGGCCTGGTTCAGCAAGCGCTCTGGTCGCGCATCCATGGGCGGCGGGTTGTCTATGTCGTCGTAATCGTCGTTATCGCTTGGGGCGTGGATAAGGTAGTCTTTGCGGTGGTTGAAGATGAAGGGCACTTCGTAGTCTTCGAGATTGATAAACTCCAGGACCTTGCGCACAGCCTTCTCGAAAGGTTGCAGGAAGTAGCGGGGGAGGCCCTTCTTTGGCCACAGCATATTGCTGATCCAGGTGGCCTCTTCTGTCAAGCGTGCTTGCATGTCTTCTGGCGTGAGCTCGATCTCCTTGAAGGATCTCCGGGCTAGCTGCAGTCGCTCGGGAATGTCGGTCTCGCGGATGACGTTGTCCTCATCCGTAAGCATGCGCTCCTGTAGTTGCGATGGCTCGAAGACATCCTTGAGTTGAAGCTCACGGCCTTCACCAGCTTGCTCGTCCTCTTCCGCTTCTTGCATCTCCAGCGCCCAGTCGTAATCTGTGCCATCACCAAAGGCAGCCCTGTAGTCTTCTTCTGCTCCCTCGTCCAGACCTGCAGCTTGCAGTCCCTTTGTGATCAGGTTTATGCCTGGTTGTGTGACGTCGCGGTCGTCTTCGATCTCGTCTTCGAACTTGTCGTCCTCAATAAAGTCGTCGAATTCGTCGCCAAGGCGCCCGCGCGGCTCGTCGTAGTCTTCGTTTACTTCGTCGTCGGAGAAGATGTCGTCCACGCCGCGGGACTTGACGCGCTCCTTGTGGCCACGCTTCAGGCGCTTGAACCTCGACTTCCCCTAAGTTAGCGGTGCCCACGCTTCAGCAAGGTATGCCTTACCTGTTCTTCTGCCGGGCGCTCAACCTCGACACCGATCAGGTCGAGATCCTCGTCATCTAGGGCTTCTTCCTCGTGACGGTCCTTCTTCCTCTTCCTGCGCCGACGTTTGCGCTCCGCGACCTCGTCTTCTTCGTCCTCGTCTGCGATGAAGCCTTCACCTTCCTATATGTCCATTAGCATCTGCAGATACCCCAGCCAGTACGGCCAAGCTTACCTGTCGCAGCCGATCTTCGTCGTCGTCATCTTCCTCCTCGCTGGAGTCGTCGATGCCATTGGTGCCATTTGTCTTCTTCGGCCTGGGTTCAACGGCGTCGCCAGCCTCGCCAGCCTCGCCATCAAAGTCCTCATCCTCCTCCTCGTCGCTGCCTACGTCGGCGATTGTGTCGAAGAACTCCGCCATGGTGATTCAAACAAGGACAACGCGTGGACTGATGGTTCTGGTGATGGAGCGCGATGGGCGATTTCGGCGAGCTCTTTGCGGCAAAGAGGTTATCGTGCTGTGGCGATTCAGCGGGAGGGAGATTCGGGCGCAATGGAGGTAAAGGAGAGAAGGAGGGCAGAAGTAGCCTCTCTCAAAGGTTCGCGCATCCATCGGCCGCGTTAACTTTCGGCCGCACTGACGCCCGTCACGTGATAGCCTGATACGCGCTAGGCGGATACCATCAACAAAAGTTGACCATACCCGACTTGGAACAGCATGCTACAGCTACGGGCATCAAACACGTGGGCTTCCCTAGCCTCGTTCTCTACATGTATCTAGTCATGTACTGAGGACGTGTTTGAGAAGGATTAAGCTTAGATATACTAGGGATGCAGCGACGACTCAAGCTCCAATGCACAGATTAATCATCACCACCAGACTTACAAGCCAACATCTCCAAGGCAACGGTCACGCCATGCGGTTCTTTGAAATGTATTTCGTGGAAGTGATTGGCATGTCAAACGGTCGACGTTGGATTGGTCTGTACGCCAGGCACATGGCCGCATTCGAGATACGCGCTTTGAAGTTCTGCGCTAGAAGCAGGTGAAGCATGGCGACGAGGAACCATGCGACTCTGAAACCTCCTGAACAAGGCATCGTATAGTGTATACAGACTTATCAAAGACTCATCCCTTGGAGAGCGTGAGTATTTGACAGCTCTCTTTCTCTCGAAGACAGAGCTACCTTGCTGCTCATTTGCATCCTCTGCAGCCTCGCAGACTCAGTTACAGACGTTGGACGCTACCGCAACCCCACCAGCGCGCCCCACTCGCGCTGGATACTGACACGACCACGACCTCTCCTGAGCCGGTTTGCTGTCAACAACGCCCGAGACACTGCCCTCCATTCACTGCCATCGCCATTCCAATCGGTCCCTGCATTCGCTCACCTGCACATTTTCTCGTCAGGCGCCCGGAAACGGACAAACCAATAGACGCTGTCCTCCTTTGGGCTATTTCCGTCATTGGCGTACCATCGTCGACCCAGCGTCGGGCGGCAAACTCGAAACCACAGCCAGCACCCGGCCTCCTACACACTTGGGCTCTGTATTCTTCGCAGAGTAGCCTTCGCCTCGCAGTTGCTGCACCCGTCCACCCTCACCCACACGACAGCAGCGCCCGGCGCAAACCTTCAAGATGGCCGAGTCGTCCTTCAAGCAGAAGACGATGAAGAGGAAGAACGTCAAGGGTCTCGCCCTCAGCGCTCCTGCCCCCAAACCCGCACCTTCCGCCGGGGACGCCCAAATACCCGGCGCTCGAGCCAACGACGAAAAGCAGGATACCCTGGAGATTGGTGTTGAGTTCCAGCTGGACCTAAAGGCCGAGGACCTGATAGTGCTGCGCGAATTGGGTCACGGAAATGGAGGAACAGTCAGCAAGGTGCAGCATGCTGCTACCAAGGTCATCATGGCGCGGAAGGTGAGTGGCAGACCAGGACGTGTACGGCACGACGAGACTGACAAGGGCAGGTTATCCACGTCGAGGCCAAGAACGAAGTCCGGAAACGAATCGTGCGAGAACTCCGAATCATGCACGACTGCAACTCACCCTACATTGTCGACTTCTATGGCGCCTTCCAAAATCCTTCCGGCGATGTCATCATGTGCATGGAGTACATGGACGTGGGGTAGGTGCAAGCTGTTTCATGCTGCAGGATGCGAGTTGCTAACTTGCATGCCAGGTCGCTTGACTGGGTCTCACGATCATTCGGACCCGTCCGCGTCGACGTTCTCGGAAAGATTTCAGAAGCCGTGCTCGGCGGCCTCGCCTACCTTTACAGCGCCCACCGTATCATGCATCGCGACCTCAAACCCTCAAACATCCTCGTCAACTCAAAAGGAAACATCAAGCTGTGTGACTTTGGTGTCTCAAGTGAACTCGAGGGGTCTATTGCCGAGACTTTCGTAGGAACAGGCACATACATGGCACCGGAGCGGATACAAGGTTCTCCCTACACCGTCAAGTCGGATGTATGGAGTGTTGGTCTGACGCTCATGGAACTGGCCATTGGCAAGTTCCCATTCTCCGGAAGCGCGGATGATGACGAAGCTGGAGGTCCTCAAGGTATTCTGGATCTCTTGCAGCAAATTGTGTTGGAACCTTCACCCAAGCTACCAAAGAGCGACGCCTTCCCATCCATTCTGGAGGACATGATTGCGAAGTGTTTGATGAAGGATCCAGCGGAGCGACCAACTCCCAAGGAGCTATACGTAAGTTGTCCTAGCCCAATTCAGGTCTGGAGTGTACTAATCATAGCAGGACCACGATGCCTTCCTCCAAGCCGCAAAGCGCACTCCGGTCAACCTCGAAGCATGGGCCATATCCATGATCGAGCACAACAAGCGCAAATCCCATCTCGCCCCAACCGCTCCCGCAGCGGACATCAAAGAGAAGCTCCGCGAGCGATCCCCTCCCCACAAGCGTGAATCCAGCGACCCCAGGCAAAGAGTTGCCAATGGTGACCCCGAACCAGCACCACGACGACCTTCATACCCCACACGGACATCGAGCAGTTCCAATGTCATGAACCTACCTATGCGACCAGCGCCATCTGTAGACGGTCCGGGTAGCAGACCGGGTAGTCGGGGTCCATCAGCCAACGGCTTACCACCTCAGCCGAGGAGGTGGAACAGCGAAGTACAATAGTGGGACAAGACGCGTTTTCTATTAGATAGTGGATCTAGGCAAGTATATAGAGGTTATGGGGAATTCTGTAAGGTCCCTGCTGGATGTCGGGACCATCTTCATCAAATGTAAGGTCGGAGGTTTTCGCCTTGAAGGCTTGTTGTTGTTGACTTTCTACTAGCATCAAATACCAAATACTCATCTTTCGTATTTCGTACTTCGTACAATGCTGATGGTGACCATGATAGACACTGTTTTGCCGGTGGTATAGGCAGTAATTCGGCATCGCCAAACCTGCACCGTCTCATGCTGGATCAGCGTAGAGCATGCCACCTTTCAGCCGTTCATTCGTACATCCTTATCTTCCCCGCCTGAGGTATTTCTTGTCCCTGTCGAAGTACTTGAAGTGAGTGCTTACTCGCGGCATCACAAGACTAGAAGCACATCCAAGCTCACGGCTAGGGAAAGCTAAACACTCCATGCAGGGAGGAGTTGAACGGGGCTGAGGAGTTCTATTCCATCTTACGGCCGTTAGCAACAGGGTATTGGATTCCGAATAGATGCGATGGCAATGTAGGCCTCAGGACTATCCGCTTTCGTATACGCATTTTTGCTTGCAGGTACACATTTGATTGTTTCCTTGGACAGGATGAAAGTTGTATCACCCGCATAAATTGAACACTCATCTCGCACACGTCCTTTGCAGCAATATCGCAATAAATCCGAAGTTCAAAAGGGCAGAGTCGTAGACAGTTGTCCGTTCCACAGTTAGATCTTTCTAAGACTCTTGATGAACACCTCAATTGTACACACAATGTAAGATCTCCTTCTCTGACATCGATCGATCTCCAACTTGTCAAAGAAGTCACGCGGGCTATTAGATCTATCACCCGAGGGCGTATCGTTCATCACGAAAGTTAATGTTCGAAAGAGGGAAGGTCAAATCGGGGCTCCGAGGTGGTAAGCCGGGAACTAAGACGGGCACTACGCGTTCCCCACGACCACGAGTAGTATATACCATCACCAACTGCGATACTTTCTATCGCAATGAAAGCGCCGAGCAGAATTACAATCAAAGACTAAACTTAAGCTGTCCGGCTTCGTGCAGACCTTGCGATGGCAGACACAAGCGATCGCCCTGCGCTTGGCTTCCCGTTGTCGTCGTTGTTACCGAGCGGGGCGCATCCGATAGTAGCAAGCGTATTGCTTGTCTTGATTGTGAGTCCCCCAGCATCAGGGTTGTTCATGTCCAGCACTGACCATGCAAAGTCCGCGTTTGTGTATGGCTTCTACAACGCGTTCCTCCATCCGCTCCGCCACTACCCCGGTCCACTACTCTGGCGAGCCTTCCGCATCCCGCATGTCGTCTCAACACACCGTGGCGAGATCCACAAACGACTTACTGAGTTCCACACCAAATATGGACCTGTCGTGCGTGTCGCTCCCAACGAGCTCTCATATGCCAGCAGCCGTGCGTTGAAAGAAATCTACGTCACCCGGCCTGGCCATCTACCATTCGAGCGTAACCGCACTTCATTCAAGAAGCAGGCCCCAACAGATCCAAACTCCATCGTAAACTGGCATGAAGGAGACCATGCGAGATACAAACGAGCGTTTGCGAATGGCTTCTCAGAGAAGATCCTGAAGGAACAGGCACCGATCATTGAGAGCTATGTCGACCTCTTCATGACACAGCTCAAGAAAAGGAAGACCATCGATCTTGAAAAGTGGCTAAACTATCTGACCTTTGACATATCCGGCGACTTCACATATGGCGAGTCCTGGAACTGTGTTGCAAACGGCAAAGCGCATGCCTGGGTCGACATTTCCCAAGACTTCGGCAAAGGGCTTGCTTTGATCCAATCGACCAACATGTATCCGCCGATTGACAAGCTGCTCCGCTACATCATTCCAAAGCGCATCTTGCAAAGGAGCATGGAACACCGGAAGATGAGCTTTGAACAGGCTCGCAAGAGAATAGCGATGGATACGGAGCGTCCGGATTGGGTAACGCCGACCAAGAAGTACAGCGACATGAAAGACCCCTTTACAGGCCCTGAGTGGGGCATAAACCTGCTCGTACTCGCCTTCGCCGGGAGTGAGACTTCAGCTAGTGCCCTGACTGCTATCGTCAGATCCCTGGTACAGCACAAGGGTGTTCTGCATCGACTCACCGCAGAGATCAGGGAGACTTTCCAGAAAGAGAGCGATATCACAGTGGCAACAACAGGCAACCTGACATACCTCAACGCAGTCATTTCAGAGGGCATGCGCCTCAACCCTCCCGTCGTCATCGGAGTCCCACGTATCGCACCTGCAGGCGGCGACATGGTGTGCGATAAATGGGTTCCTGAAGGAGTAAGCTCCTCACATACTCCTACAACTACTGCTTCTTGACTAACATCCCCTCAACAGACCTACGTAGCCTTCAACCAATTCTCCGCCTATCGCCAATCCTACAACTTCCGCAACCCTAACTCCTTTATGCCGGAGAGGTTTCTGGACCCAAAGTCGTATCACGAAGACGACATGGACGTGTTCCACCCTTTCCTAGTGGGCAGACACAAGTGCGTGGGCGTCAGCTTTGCCTGGTCGGAGATGCGTCTTATTCTTGCGAGGCTGGTGTGGAGTTTCGATATTAGGCTTAAGGATGAGCGGGATAGGTGGGATTGGGGTGAGCAGTGTACTTATATCCTTTGGGTAAGTTTTATGTCGGGGATGGGATGATTGGATTTAAGTGCTAACGGTGGTGTAGGACAAGAGGCCCTTAGAGGTCATTCTGGATCATGTCAATATGTAGGCAATGGATCTTACTCACAGTAGCCGAAATTGGTAAGGTGGAATGACAGAGAACTTTGAAAATGGCTTTTGTGAGCATTTCTCCAAGTATCCAGTTCATTGCTCTCGCTCTGCTCTCATCATGTCGCCAGGCCTAATTGCGCTCTAATTGACTCATGGATGCTGCCTTTGGGACTAGTGCTGTACGTGACCGGTTTTGTGCGGGTCTGCTCCCATTACACGCTCGCTACCACATTACGTAGGTGGTAGCTACCCAGTATTGCCTCCTTACAATGGGTCGAAACATTAGAGATTCATAATCTGCTCTGAACCCTGTGATTACTCCATACAAATTGTTCTACAAAGTGTTCTCATCGCAGCAGTATAAAGTCGAAACGCCTCAGTTTTTTATTTCCTCCTTCTCCAACCAACTCCATCACCAGAAGTCTACCAACGTCAACCGTGCTTAACACCATCAAAACTTGACAACGATAGCATCAGATACCTTGTCAGACGACCTCAGAACACCTCGCGTTTCCACCAGAGAATACCTCACCTTCCTTTCGCAAGCCACCAAAGCTCAAATTCCACTACTCACACCATCACGATGTTCACCACCACAAGTCTCACAACCCTCATGCTCATCGGGCTACTTTGCTCCCTCATGGTATCAATGGTACACGCTCGTCCGGTACCCCGCCACTCGCTCGAGCCCAGATTCTTCTCATTTGGGGCGGCCGGTGCCCTTGCTTCTTACGCATCCATGTACCACTACCACACCTCGGCTGCTGGGAGGATAGATATGAATATGGGTTTGACGAGTGGTTTGCTTGTTGGTGGGGTGGTGGTAGGGGTTGTGGGTGGGTTGTGGTAGATGGGGGATGGATGCTTCGGAGCAGGACTTGGGGGATGGAAGCGTTGGAGGTATGAGTGGTATGTTCGTTGTGTTGTTACGAATTTGGTATGGGATAAAGATAGGATAAGGTGCTGGTTCTATGCAGTTCGATACCAAGAATCCGCTAGTCGTCGACGACAATATGACCAAGGATGAGGGAGGGCGAGAAGAACCTAACCCGGTCGTAGTCAGGTCGCTCCTAGGGCATGTCGTCGACATCGAGGAGCGCCTTGTAGACGTCAGGGAAGCTTTCTTCCGCCATATTGACGATTTCGTCGTTGGTGTAGGCGCCCGGGTGGCACTCTAGCAATAATACAACCCTCTATATAGCAATATCATTGGCAAAAGTCCTTGAAGACATTCGAAGTGATCGCCAGTATGTTAGAGCTGTTAATTGTGGCGTGTCTCGGTGAAACTCGCGTTCTTTCACTAGCTAACGGTAAGCACTGTGGGACGGCTTTCTCCCTGGAGGCTTGTAATGCTTCCGATCAGGGGACGGCGTCCTTGTAATGGTACTGCGAAAGCATTTGCAGCCCAATTTCTCTTCAAGCAGCAGCTTTGCGCGCCTCGACTGCTTTCTCATACGCCTTGAGGTCGACGTTGCCAGCGTTCCAGACGGTGACGGCTTGTACGAAGACGCCCTTCTCCTTCCTGCGCTCGACATAGCCGATGATATTGAGCCACGTCCCCACGTCTACGTTGAGTTCCTTGATTCGCTCGAGCACATGTTCGATATCGAGATTCGCGATGACGGGCGGATCAGATATCGGATAGTTGTGCTTGAGCCGCAGTGTCGCGGTCTTAGTGACGTACTCATCGATGCTGCGGCGCAGTCAGTGTCTGTGGCAGCTGTGGCTTTCACTCCAAGTACCAGCCCAGAAAGCGGACTTTGGTGCCCTGCGCACATGCGGGCAAGTCACTCAGCAGCACCAGATTCGAAGCAACGGGGCCAGACATTGTGCGTCGAGGAGGGCGCGCAGAATGCGGTGGAAACTAGAGCCGCGGCCGAAGTGCACGGATGCACGTGCCATGGTTAGCGCAGACGACATCATACCCTCGTGCATCCAGGCCCGATTCATGACCAGCCAGGCACCCTTCAATCACAACCACGCCGCCGCTGCAACAACTCAACCCTCTGCGCAACGCTCGCACTTACCGCACCTCTAACATCTCTCGCATTCCCACAAAGTACGTTCGAGCCACCCACCATCCCCGCAGCCCCGCCATCTCACTCTCTGATAGGCTCCGAGTCTCCTGCATGAGCGCCCGATAGGACCATACAACCGACAGTTGCTAACTAAAACCCTCAAGACAACTTCAATATGAGCGGCTGGGGCCTGGGCTGGTTTGGCGGTGGCCAGGCGAAGAAGGAGGCGCCAAAGAAGGCCATCCTCCAGCTTCGAGGCCAACTTGAGATGCTGAACAAGAGAGAAAAGCACCTGCAAAACCAGATGGATGAGCAAGATGCGCTCGCACGGAAATTTGTTTCTTCCAACAAGCAAGGTATATCCACCTGGACCAGGCTTCCTGGCACAGTCGCTAACGCCTCTTGCAGCCGCGAAATCAGCGTTACGGCGAAAGAAGCAGTTCGAGCACTCACTCGAGCAAACGAGCGCACAGATTATGACCCTAGAAAAAGAGATCTACTCCATCGAGACGGCCAACATCAACAAGGAGACGATGGAAGCCATGAAGAGCGCAGGAAAGGCCATGAAGGAGATACACGCCGGCCTGACCATCGACAAAGTCGACAATGTCATGTACGCCTCTCCCACATCCAAATACCCACAGACCAACTTGCTAACAAGACGCGCAGGGAGGACCTCCGCGAACAACACGCAATCGGCGAAGAAATCAGCGAAGCCATCACCTCAGGCGTGGGCGCAAACGGCATCGACGAAGACGAGCTGGACGAAGAGCTCGCCGAGCTACAACAAGAGAAGCTCGACGAGCAAATGCTCAACACAGGCAACGTGCCCATCCACGACGCCCCCTCGTCACAGAAGCTACCGCAAGCGCCGAATACCAACATCAAGGCACCGCAGCGGGTCGAGGAGGACGACGAAGAGGAGGAGCTGCGGAAGCTACAGGCCGAGATGGCCATGTAGGCGCGCGGCGACGGCTCACGTTATCGCTACCATGCGAGCATAGCGACTGCGCGTAGCTGGGAAGGTTTTCAAGGCGTACGGCGATATCAGCAGAAGCGGCATCTTGGGCTTTAGCTTCTTCTTTCCTATATATAATCGCAGCATTTGGGTCTTGGATTTTGTGAAGAGGCACTTGCTCTACCTATGAGATAAGGCGGGATATACCTTGCAATATCATACTCTACATTTGGAAATTCTGACTTACAAACTTGCTGTGCTTTCTGGAGGCTATCCGTCTGAGTTCTTGGCATGCCGCGGTCTCTGGGAGGATACCATGAGGCAACTACTCGATTCATATCAGGCATCAACACATGCAGATGGAATGGACTCCTGAACGCGCGTCGGAGCCCTTAGGAGGCGTCTTCAGGCTACAATCGAAACACTAAAGACTAACTCAGTCAGGCTATTGAACATCAAAACTCCACATATCACACAATGAGAGCAAAGACATGTACGCGTATATACATATTTCATTTTTTGAGACGACCCTATACCATGGTCGTTACTACACTATCATCTATCTACTCGAAACAGTCATGTATACCATAACGCATATATCCCATATCGACGTAAAAAAACAGCTTTACGCGACGAAAAATTCCACTTTTGATAAAAACCATGAACCCCCAACCAAGCTACGCTGTTCAAGGGTATCATAATCAATGAGTTGGGAGGGGCAAGCCAAAATGCTTGCCGCTTAGAAACGCCGAATGTCAAATGCTAAAGGTCATGCGACAAACGCAGTAATAGTGAACGGAATGTTGTCAAAGAGCAAAGGGCCAGAAAATGGAACACTACTCAGTCTTCTTGGGTGCGTCTTGGCTCTCTTCTGGCTTCTTCGCTTCGTCCGCGTCTGGTGTGCTGTCTGCGGTCAACTCGGTCATTGGGCGCCGCATCGGGGTGCCCGTTTGAACGGCTGGCGACCCGGGAACTGGCGTGATCGGCTCGACGCTCGGGCGATGCGAAGGCATAGCGGACACGGGAGGCGCTGGTGCCGCAGTTGATGGCGTAGCGGCTGTGGGTGTAGATGGCGATGCACCGGTCATGTTGGGCGTAAACTTGTGCGGTTCGCTATTCTCGCGAGGCGGAGCTGGAGACGCACTGCCTGTTGGATGTGCAGTTTGAGGCGGAGGCTGGTATTGCTGAGACACGGTGTTCGCGGCAGCACCCGCGGCAGCAAATGCTGCTGCAGTGCTTGCTTCGTCTTCATCCTTGACATCAGGTGCCCTTTTGACATACTTGTTGATGCTCTCGACTCCGCAAATGGATATGAGCAACTTACGCTCCGGTTCCGTCAGCGTCGACTCAGGTACAGTCCTGTCTACGCAAGCTCTAATCGCGTTGTCCACCTTCTTTTGCTCCTCGGGGCCTAGGCACTGCTCAAGATAAGTCTTCCTATAGGCTTCAAGCTGACGAATGAGCTCTGGATGAACTCCGATTGGGTAACGTCCAGACGGATGAGGCGCTGCAGTATCATTTGTCGAACCTTGACGCGAGGGTGGCTGAGGCGGGGGCGGGCCGTAAGGTGATCCCGAAGACTGCGGCTGCGACGCCGAAGGAGCATTCGACTGCTGGCCCTGTGGGGGATATGCTGCATAGGGACGAGTCGGTCCAGGACCATACGGGCTGGCGCCGGCATTGGCATATGGCCCACCGTAAGGGCTCGGTGCCGAGGGTCCGCTGTACGGCGACTGTTGTGGGGCGGCCGTGGGATAGAGAACGCCATATTGACCACTTGAACCAGCTGCTGAAGATGCTGGTGGAGCCTGCGGGTTAGGCTGCGGATACGGTCGTGGAGGGTTCGGGGCGGGTGGACTTCCAGCTGTATTACCACCGCCGCCCCACGGAGACGCGTAAGGCGAGGGATGGGGCGCGTTCTGGGGCGTGGCCGACGCAGCTGAGTTACCTTCGTTGCGAGTCATGCTGGGTGGTAAGCGAGGCTGCGAAAGGCTAGGCGGCAGTCTGGGAGGTGGCTGTGGCATCGCATGAGGCATGCCTGGGTGGTATCCGTACCCAGGCTGAGGGTACGGCTGGTAACCGTTGGGTGGCTGGTAGTAGGGTGGTCGCGGTGCATGGTTGAGCGGAGGACTGGCTTGCCTCTTCCTGCGCTCCTTTTCGATCGAAACTTCGGGATTGATCCTCCAGAGGTACCCCTTGCCCTCTTTGTCGCCCTTCATGAACGCATCATGCTGACCGAGGTTGTGACGTACACTCGATTGCCAGCCGCTTGTCGTAGTCTTGAACTTGTACCAGGGATACTTGCGCTCTATATAAGTATAGATGGATTGAAGGTTCATCTGGCCCGTCGGGGACGACGAGATTGCCTCATGAATCAAGACGACATAGTTGGCCGTGGGGCGCTGAAGCTGTTCTTCGGAGTAGTCTTCGATGCGCATCTCAGGCGAAGGAGTTCGAGGTGGTCTGATTGGTTTCGCCTGCTTGTGGAGGCCAGACAAGCCACCATCACCCTGTTCTGTCGTCTCGATGACGGCGTCGTCTTCGCCGTCGCCAGCGTTCGACTCCTTGCGCTTGGGTGCCTTTGGCTTGCTGATCGGTATTGGGATATCAGCAGGGTCAATGCCAGCGGCTCTGGCCCTCTCAATATCCTTTGCTTGTTTGATAAGTTGCGAGCGCTGGCGCTTGGACATGATGCCGTCCTTGGGTGGCCTGCCAGGCCCTTTGCGCTTCTCGACAACATGTCCAATCAGGTTTCGTGGCAAGTTGTGCTGGATGGCCATCTCTTCTGTAATAAGGCCATCGATATCTCCTCCGGCTTCAAGTTCGCCTTCGTGTGGCTTGCGTAGTACCGGTGCAGTATCGTTCGGCGGAGGCTTGCTTGGTTGTTCGGGCTTTGGAGCCGCGGGAATGTCCTTGACGGGCTCCTCGACTGGCGTCTCAGATTTAATAGGTGCCTTCGCGGGGGTCTTGGCTGGAGCTTTGCCCTTTTCTTTAGGCTCCTTGGGTTCCTTAGGCTTCTTGGGCTCCTCAGGTACAGCCACTTCCTTCTCTTTGGGTTCCTTCGGTTCCTTCGGTTCTCTGCGCTCTTTCTGGACCTTGGGCTCCTTCGCGGACTCCCGAATCGCCTCTTTGAGCTTCGCTGTATCCTTGACTTTGAGCTTGACTTTCTTTGTTGGCGGCTCTTCAGGCGTGAGTTCGCGGTGCTGATGCTTCCTCTTGTGCGCCTTTTTGCTCTCCTTCGAAGGAGCGGGAGGCAAGTTCTTGATTTTAAGCTTGAGACTTGTCTTCTGGCGAGGTTTTGGAGCGGGCTCCTCGTAGTCGTCCATTTCCTCATCAGCGAGGCCATCGTCGTCGTCGCTGTCGCTGACAGGATGGTGGTAGTAGACATGTCGTGGGTTGACGCTCTGCTGGTCTTCGCTCTCGGAGCTGATGTGCTCATCGCTTTCCAGTTGACCATTTCCATTCTCGAAAGAAAAACTCATGGGACGTGAGCCCGACTCCTGGCGGTGGCGTTGCTGCTCCGTGAGGGCAACGTCGGGGAGGAAGAAGTGTATATTCACAGCGCCGAGCTGCAGATGATCGCCATGGTCCAAAGGTATAGTCTCTCCCCGAGGGTAGAACTCGCCTTCGTGGTGCAAGCCGTTGTTGCCCAGCACTTTGATGCAGAAATGGCCTGCGTCGAAATCAAAGAAGATCTTGGCATGCTCTCGTGATATGCCCTTGGGCCCCAGGGAGCCTGTCTTGGCCATGATCTGCTGTGGATGTATAGGTACGAACGGACAGTCGTTCGGGTCTTCGGGGACATGGCCGTCGAACTGGGCAGGCACTTCGGGGAAGGCTTGCATGATCATGTCCTGCGGCGCGCGTTCGGCAGGTTTCTCCTCGCCTGACTCGCCCGTGGGGTGTGAATTTGAGCTGAGAGAGTGCGATGCATTGCTCTGGCGACGCTGCTGGTATTCCATGGGCATCGACTCGATGGGTGCGCTGAGAATGCCACCCTTCTCGGAGATGACACTGCGAGCACCACGCCGATCGCCTTTCTTCTTCTTCTTTTTGTCCTTCTTCCCGTTGACCTCGTCCAAGCCATGCAGGTGTTCGTTGGCGGCCTTGACGTGACCCTTCTTGTGTAGTGCCTCGGCCTTGATGAGGCGCTTCATGTCTCTATGCGCGAGATCGAGGTTGCGGCCCAGGGTGATCTGGTAGGTGTGCATGTAGTAGGAGCCGTCATCGAAGCGCAGACGCGCAAAGGCTGTGAGGCGCTCATTGGTGGTGGTGGGCGGCATCATGCCGAAGGACTCCATGGGTGGATAGGCGGAATTCATGTCCATGGGCATGCCGCTCATGTCGGCGCCATTTAGGTTGTTAGACTGCGCAAAGTCGATGGGGGTGTCGAGAAGGCGCAGTCCGTTGGTGAGGTTGTTGTCCATCAGGTCGTGGTTGGCCGGTGGATTCTCGCCGCCGAGGGCAGGCATGGCCGACGCATCGCTGGTCGCGGCTGCCATGTCGGGAATGCGCTTGTCGGGAGCAGGCGAGGCAAGGGCGTCGGGGGTGTCATATTGGGGGCTGACATGGTGTAGAAGCTCGTTGGAAGGGGCTACGGCCATACTGCCGCCGCCATCTTCGTTGGGAAATGCGTAGTTGTAGGTGGAAGGGTACTGGAAGAAGTTCACGGAATGGAGGTCAAAGATGCCGTCCTCTGCACATGGTTAGCGGCGCGCTTCTTTTTCGCCCAGCAAACCGCGTCGCGGTGTCGCGCAATACATACGAGGGAAGCAATCGTTGGAGGGCGCGACAAAGCTGTAGCTGAATGCGTCTGCCGATAGGAAAGGGTCTGCGTCGTGCTGTCGCAGCGGGTTGGTGTCTTCGGAGGATGTCGGTCGAGGCTGCCCATGAGAGGCTTGCGCCGGGCCTAATCCTGCTGCACGTGGGTCTTGGCCGCCCATCTCCGCATCAAGGTCCGACGGCGCCGATGCGAAAGATGAACTCAACTCTCGAGCCCGTTC